TCAGTGTGAGCAGTGTTCAGTGAGAGCAGTTCATAGTAAAGGACATTGGTGATCAAGTTCTGCCTTGTGCCTTTTTCACTACCTACCCCATCACCCTTGTCGACACGTGATATACTACCATATATTATTTCATTATATTACTATTCATTTCATGGAATATTCATGAAGTATTTATTCAATCAACAAACAATGTCATGGAATATTCATGAAGTATCTATTCAATCAACAAACAATGTCATGGAATATTCATGAAGTATCTATTCAATCAACAAACAATGTCATGGAATATTGTATTTACTCAATCAACAATATGTAGCGCATTTTGAAATAGTGTCCGTGCCCAAATTCTGGTTTGCCTACTCCTTACTTAACGGCATACTGTGTACTAATTGTATTACGTACTATTTAGCACATACTGCATACTTTTTACTAAATAGTATTAGGCTTGGGCGACATACCGTATACCGGAGTATTTTGAAATACCAACGGTATGATTTTCAATACGGTATAAAAAAATGTAATTAATAAATGTGTGTATACACTATATAAACAAAAGTATGTGGACACCCCTTCAAATTAGTGGATTCGCCTATTTCAGCCACACCCGTTGCTGACAGGTGTATAAAATCGAGCACACAGCCATGCAATCTCCATAGACAAACATTGGCAGTAGAATTGCCTTTCTGAAGAGCTCAGTGACTTTCAACATGGCACCGTCATAGGATGCAACCTTTCCAAAGTCAGATCGTTACATTTCTGCCCTGCTAGAGCTTCCCTGGTCAACTGTTAGTGCTGTTACTGTGAAGTGGAAACGTCTAGGAGCAACAACGGCTCAGCCGCGAAGTGGTAGGATACACAAGCTCACAGAACGGGACTGCCAAGTGCTGAAGCGTGTAGTGCGTAAAAATCTTCTGTCCTCGGGCGCAACCCATAATACCTAGTTCCAAACTGCCTCTGGAAGCAACATCAGCACAATAACTGTTCGTCGGGAGCTTCATGAAATGGGTTTCCATGGCCGAGCAGCTGCACACAAGCCTAAGATCACCATGCGCAGTGCCAAGCGTCGGCTGGAGTGGTGTAAAGCTCGCCGCCATTGGACTCTGGAGCTGTGGAAACGCGTTCTCTGGAGTGATGAATCACGTTTCACCATCTGGCAGTCAGACGGACTAATCTGGGTTTGGTGGATGCCAGGAGAACGCTACCTGCCCCAGTGCATAGTGCCAACTGTATAGTTTGGTGGAGGAGGAATAATGGTCAGGGGCTGTTTTTCATGGTTTGGGCTAGGCCCCTTAGTTCCACTGAAGGGAAATCTTAAAGCTACAGCATACAATGACATTCTAGACGATCCTGTGCTTCCCAACTTTGTAACAACAGTTTTGGGGAAGGTCCTTTCCTGTTTCAGCATGACAATGCCCCCGTGCACAAAGCTAAGGTCCATACAGAAATGGTTTGTCGTGATCGGTGTGGAAGCACTCCAGAGTGCCATGATGAAACCATGTTTTTTACTGTGTTCTTTACTAAATTTATTTGTCTATATTTGGTATTTTCCCAGTACTTCGCAACCCCTACCCACTCACCCCAGTTCCTAGCTGAGGTTGGAGTATACATAATTGGCTTGGAGTCATTGGTTACGTCCCAAATGCCACCATATTCCCTCTTTTTAGTGCACTACTTTTGAGCAGGGGCCCATACCAGGGTCCATACCAGGATCCATACAGGGAATAGGGTGCCATTTGGGACTCAAGGAGAGACACAAACTGCACTCTCTGCATCCAGGAGTTGGTCATTTTCAATATCATCCTGGCAACTTTTTGAAACGTAAAGCTTGATTTATGCTGATGACATACTCCCTGATTATAATTCCTTTGGTAGAACTAGTTATTAGCCAGCCTAAACAGCCTGGGAAAGTAGGTTTTAAACTCTTTTAACTCTAAAGTGTAGAGCACGCTGCCATAGAGACATTCATGCTGCCTCCCAGTGCAGACATCTGTTGATCACCAGAAATGTAGCCTGTAGCTCTTTTCTCTTTCTCATCTGGATCAATCGAACAGCTACTCAAAACTTCTAACATGTGAATTGAGCTATTTTTGATATCGGCATTCATTTCCTCCCATGCCTGTACGTTGCACGTTGTATCTCAGATTGAGCTGTTATTCAATATCTCTCTCAGGGGAAATGAGATTTTAGCTTAGCAGCCTAGATATCAGCCATGGTTATCGTTGGGCTGGACCTCTTAGTCCATTTCTATTTGTGGAAAGGCTGTGAACTTTTGAGGTAGAATCGGTCATGGACGTGTCGTAGGCTGCTCTATGTCCTATGTGGGCCTCTGTCGCTCGGTTGGTAGAGCACGGCGCTTGCAACACCAGGATAGTGGGTGCGATTCCCTGAAGTACCCGTACGTAAAATGAATGCATGCATGACTGTAAATTGCTATGGATAAAAGTGTCTGGTAAATGGCATATATTTATATGATGTCTACATGTGTCTATGGTTAGAATACTGAGGCATTTGGAGAGTAGGGTTAGAATACTGAGGCATTTGGAGAGTAGGGTTAGAATACTGAGGCATTTGGAGAGTAGGGTTAGAATACTGAGGCATTTTGGAGTAGGGTTAGAATACTGAGGCATTTGGAGAGTAGGGTTAGAATACTGAGGCATTTGGAGAGTAGGGTTAGAATACTGAGGCATTTTGGAGTAGGGTTAGAATACTGAGGCATTTGGAGAGTAGGGTTAGAATACTGAGGCATTTGGAGAGTAGGGTTAGAATACTGAGGCATTTTGGAATAGGGTTAGAATACTGAGGCATTTGGAGAGTAGGGTTAGAATACTGAGGCATTTTGGAGTAGGGTTAGAATACTGAGGCATTTGGAGTAGGGTTAGAATACTGAGGCATTTGGAGAGTAGGGTTAGAATACTGAGGCATTTTGGAATAGGGTTAGAATACTGAGGCATTTGGAGAGTAGGGTTAGAATACTGAGGCATTTTGAGAGTAGGGTTAGAATACTGAGGCATTTGGAGAGTAGGGTTAGAATACTGAGGCATTTGGAGAGTAGGGTTAGAATACTGAGGCATTTTGGAGTAGGGTTAGAATACTGAGGCATTTGGAGAGTAGGGTTAGAATACTGAGGCATTTGGGGAGTAGGGTTAGAATACTGAGGCATTTGGAGAGTAGGGTTAGAATACTGAGGCATTTTGAGAGTAGGGTTAGAATACTGAGGCATTTGGAGAGTAGGGTTAGAATACTGAGGCATTTTATAATAAATAATAATAATATGCCATTTAGCAGACGCTTTTATCCAAAGCGACTTACAGTCATGCGTGCATACATTTTTTTTTTTTTGTGTATGGGTGGTCCCGGGGATCGAACCCACTACCTTGGCGTTACAAGCGCCGTGCTCTACCAGCTGAGCTACAGAGGACCACATTTTGGAGTAGGGTTAGAATACTGAGGCATTTGGAGAGTAGGGTTAGAATACTGAGGCATTTGGAGAGTAGGGTTAGAATACTGAGGCATTTTGGAATAGGGTTAGAATACTGAGGCATTTTGGAGTAGGGTTAGAATACTGAGGCATTTGGAGAGTAGGGTTAGAATACTGAGGCATTTTGGAGTAGGGTTAGAATACTGAGGCATTTGGAGAGTAGGGTTAGAATACTGAGGCATTTGGAGAGTAGGGTTGCAACATTCCATAAAATCCCCAAAACCTGGGAAGTTTCTGGATGGTACAACCTTACTTTGGAGACTTGCATGGTTTTCCTGGAAGTCCTTGGCTGTTTTAAGGCTCAGCCTGGTGTGGACATCCTGGCCTGGCCTGGTCTGCTCTGCTCTCTAACAGACTGCAGGCCGATAGAAATAGCAGCTAATCTGGACCAGGATGTTACTGCAGAACATAGAGTTTGATAGAGGGCGAACCTGGACCAAAGGCTGTTTTAACATGGGCAGTGCCATTGAGGTTCTTTCAACTTGGTGGGACTATTTACGAACTGCCAATGCACTCAGAAGAAGAATAACAATAAGAAATGGACTACTTTAGATAGCTCAATGGCTCTGTCAAAGAAGATGCCATTGCAAGGATTGGAAGGTGTTGGCCGTCTTTCCATATCTATGCTCCAGTCTAACGTCATGGATCCTCCCTCAGCCTTCCTGTCCCGTTGATGATGTAAGTGCTTAGATAGAGCTCCACAAATCTCATTTGCAAATGAGTAGCAGCCACGACCCACATCCAGGATACAACCGCGTCGGATGGAAAATGTTAAGAGGAACAGCAAGCAGAGATTAGTGCTGTTTGTGTCAACAAATGAAGCCTTTGGTCTGCTATTCCTTTTCATGATGTTGTTGGTATTGGTTTGGCTGTAACGATGCATTCCAAATTCCTCTTGACTTAAATTGACACACAACAGATGTGTTAATATGAACCCATAAGAGTCTAAGCCCTGTCTAAGCTTGGGGAGGGGGGGTTCTACTAAGCTATATGGAATTGTTTTAAAAAGGTCATACCAAGGATCATTTTGCTATTTGATTTTGAATTTTAAGACCCCTTGAAATATCCCCCCAAAATGGTACTCCTTGTATATACCATGTTAATACCTGGTACTCCTTGTATATACCATGTTATTACCTGGTACTCCTTGTATATACCATGTTAATACCTGGTACTCCTTGTATATACCATGTTATTACCTGGTACTCCTTGTATATACCATGTTACTACCTGGTACTCCTTGTATATACCATGTTAATACCTGGTACTCCTTGTATATACCATGTTATTACCTGGTACTCCTTGTATATACCATGTTACTACCTGGTACTCCTTGTATATACCATGTTATTACCTGGTACTCCCTGTATATAGCCATGTTATTACCTGGTACTCCTTGTATATACCATGTTATTACCTGGTACTCCTTGTATATACCATGTTATTACCTGGTACTCCTTGTATATAACCATGTTATTTTGTTACTATTTCCTTTCTTTATTTAGCACATTGTTCTTAATTTTTAACTCTGCGTTGTTGGGAAAGTATAACCCAGACCCTCAGCCTTATAACCCAGACCCTCAGCCTTATAACCCAGACCCTCAGCCTTATAACCCAGACCCTCAGCCTTATAACCCAGACCCTCAGCCTTATAACCCAGACCCTCAGCCTTATAACCCAGACCCCCAGCCTTATAACCCAGACCCTCAGCCTTATAACCCAGACCCTCAGCCTTATAACCCAGACCCTCAGCCTTATAACCCTCAGCCTTATAACCCAGACCCTCAGCCTTATAACCCAGACCCCCAGCCTTATAACCCAGACCCTCAGCCTTATAACCCAGACCCCCAGCCTTATAACCCAGACCCTCAGCCTTATAACCCAGACCCTCAGCCTTATAACCCAGACCCCCAGCCTTATAACCCAGACCCCCAGCCTTATAACCCAGACCCTCAGCCTTATAACCCAGACCCCCAGCCTTATAACCCAGACCCCCAGCCTTATAACCCAGACCCCCAGCCTTATAACCCAGACCCTCAGCATTATAACCCAGACCCTCAGCCTTATAACCCAGACCCCCAGCCTTATAACCCAGACCCTCAGCCTTATAACCCAGACCCCCAGCCTTATAACCCAGACCCTCAGCCTTATAACCCAGACCCCCAGCCTTATAACCCAGACCCTCAGCCTTATAACCCAGACCCTCAGCCTGACCACCCATACACTAAAATGTATGCACGCATGACTGTAAGTCGCCCTGTTTGCCAGGCTTCTTTGGAGTCCATTTTGTGATTATTGAATGACATATAGCCTACCCTGTGTTCATGTTTATGTCCGATGTTGCTCATGATTGTGTGGTGTCATCAGTATCACCTTAGCTCTTGACCTCAGGTCAATACAAGACATCAATATGTTTCTCAGTCGATGTTGGTAACAGTGTGAATACTGCTGTCCTGTTAACATCAACACAGTGAACAAATGTATGTCCAATTTGTTCTTTTAACATTCTAAAGTTCAAGTTATTCGCCTGGGAGACAAACTGTGTTTTTGAGCAAATATTTGTCTGTTGACAAAGTGGATCAGAGACAGATGTGTCCTTCTATTTTAGGCCCTCTAAGACCCATGAGAATACTGTGTTTACTGACCGTTGTCCCCGAGATGTGTGTGTGTGTGTGTGTGCAGTGATGACAACAGCTTTGTTTACTCTGTGGGAGAGAAACATCTGTGGCCCTGGCTGATCAATAGGGCAACCGGGACCATAACATATTATCATGATACTTAGCCGCTGATACGATATGTGTTTTGCGATTCTCACGATTCTATACGTATAAAATCCGTGGTGCGGAGAACGCGAAAGGAATCACTTTATACAGACATTAAAACAGGAATTGAACAGAGTTAAAAAATATATCGAGTAGGGCTCACCCGACTGGTCAGTTGTTTGGCCGATAGGCTGTTGGTCGACCGAGAATTCTTTAGTCGAGCAGTCGCAAACGAAATTATTGGTGCACAAGACACTTGTCTGGTTGGCGCCTGTCTGAATGGACTAGTCCATTGCGGAGGCCGTGGAGATGTCACTGTCCATCACTTTTGCGCCACTGAAATTGTATATGGTTATATTACGAAAGAACAATGGTGCAACACAAATAAACATAATATTATTTTAAAACAAATGCGCTTTCTCCCGCGTTGGGTATCGGTCGCTGTCCGCGGCCTTTTACTGGACCATGTGGCTATGCGCATAATAGCAAAGTCAACCAGCATATTGGTGTTGAGAACAATGTGGAGGAGGCAGCAGCGGAGTGAGGAGACGAGACAACAGCACTTGCCTTAATTGTCTAAGAAAAGTGAGGAGAGAGTAAACGGGAACTTAATTAGGTCTATAATCAATAACTGTTAAATGTGACTTTATAAATCATCCATATACAGTTGAAGTCGGAAGTTTACATACACTTAGGTTGGAGTCATTAAAACTCATTTTTCAACCACTCCACACATTTCTTGTTAACAAACTATAGTTTTGGCAAGTCGGTTAGGACATCTACTTTGTGCATGACACAAGTAATCTTTCCAACAATTGTTTACAGACAGATTATTTCACTTATAATTCACTGTATCACAATTCCAGTGGGTCAGAAGTTTACATACACTAAGTTGACTGTGCCTTTAAACAGCTTGGGAAATTCCAGAAAATGATGTCATGGCTTTAGAAGCTTCTGGTAGGCTAATTGACATCATTTGAGTCAATTGGAGGTGTACCTGTGGATGTATTTTAAGGCCTACCTTCAAACTCAGTGCCTCTGCTTGACATCATGGGAAAATAAAAAAAATCAGCCAAGACCTCAGAAAGACAATTGTAGACCTCCACAAGTCTGGTTCATCATTGGGAGCAATTTTCAAATGCCTGAAGGTACCACGTTCATCTGTACAACAATAGTACGCAAGTATAAACTCCATGGGACCACGCAGCCGTCATACCGCTCAGGAAGGAGACGCGTTCTGTCTCCTAGAGATGAACTTACTTTGGTGTGAAAAGTGCAAATCAATCCCAGAACAACAGCAAAGGACCTTGTGAAGATGCTGGAGGAAACAGGTACAAAAGTATCTATATCCACAGTAAAACAAGTCCTATATCGACATAACCTGAAAGGCGGCTCAGCAAGGAAGAAGCCACTGCTCCAAAACCGCCATAAAAAAGCCAGACTACGGTTTGCAACTGCACATGGGGACAAAGATCGTACTTTTTGGAGAAATGTCCTCTGGTCTGATGAAACAAAATAGAACTGTTTGGCCATAATGACCATCGTTATGTTTGGAGGAAAAAGGGGGTCGCTTGCAAGCCGAAGAACACCATCCCAACTGTGAAGCACGGGGGGTGGCAGCATCATGCTGTGGGGGTGCTTTGCTGCAGGAGGGACTGGTGCACTTCACAAAATAGATGGCATCATGAGGAAGGAAAATGATGTGGATATATTGAAGCAACATCTCAAGACATCAGTCAGGAAGTTAAATCTTGGTCGCAAATGGGTCTTCCAAATGGACAATGACCCCAAGCATACTTCCAAAGTTGTGGCAAAATGAATTAAGGACAACAAAGTCAAGCTATATTTTACATTGTAGAATAATAGTGAATACATCAAAACTATGAAATTACACATATGGAATCATGTAGTAACCAAAAAAGTGTTAAACAAATCAAAATATATTTTATATTTGAGATTCTTCAAATAGCCACCCTTTGCCTTGATAATAATAAATAATAATAATATGCCATTTAGCAGACGCTTTTATCCAAAGCGACTTGATGACATCTTTGCACACTCTTGTTGTTGATCATTGCTAGACAGCCATTTTCATGTCTTTCCATAGATTTTCAAGTAGATTTATGTCAAAACTGTAACTAGGCCACTCAGGAACATTCAATGTTGTCTTGGTAAGCAACTCCAGTGTATATTTTGCCTTGTGTTTTAAGTTATTGTCCTGCTGAAAGGTGAATTCATCTCCCAGTGTCTGGTGGAAAGCAGACCGAAGCAGGTTTTCCTCTAGGATTTTGTGCTTAGCTTCATTTCGTTATTCATTTCTTTGGTGAAAAACTCCCCAGTCCTTAACGATTACAAGCATACCCATAACCTGATGAAGCCACCACTATGCTTGACGATTTGGAGAGTGGTACTCAGTAATGTGTTATATTGGATTTGCCCTAAACATAATACTTTGTATTCAGGACAAAAAGTTAATTGTTTTGCCACATTTCTTGCAGGATTACTTTAGTGCCTTGTTTTGCATGATGCATGTTTTGGAATATTTTTATTCTGTACAGGCTTCCTTCTTTTCACTCTGTCAATTAGGTTAGTATTGTGGACTAACTGCAATGTTGTTGATCCATCCTCAGTTTTCTCCTGTCACACAGCCATTGAACTCTGTAACTGTTTTAATTTCACCATTGGCATCATGGTGAAATCCCTGAGTGGTTTCCTTCCTCTCCGGCAACTGAGATAGGAGGACGTCTGTATCTTTGTAGTGACTGGGTGGATTGATACACCATCCATAGTGTAATTAATAACTTCACCATGCTCAAAGGGATATTCAATATCTGCCCTTCTTTACGAGGCATTGGAAAACCTCCCTGGTCTTTGTGGTTGAATCTGTGTTTGAAATTCACTGCTCGACTGAGGGACCGTACAGATAGTTGTGTGGGGTACAAAAAAAACATGTTAAACTCTATTATTGCAAACCGAGTAAGTCCATGCAACTTATTATGTGACTTGTTAAGCACAATTCTACTCCTGAACATATTTAGGCTTGCAATAACAAAGGTGTTGAATACTTATTGACTCAAGACATCTCATCCTTTCATTTGTAATATATTTGTCAAATTTTCTAAAAACAAAATTACACTTTGACATTAGGGAGTATTGTGTGTAAAATCTAAATTTAATCCATTTCAAATTGACTGTAACACAACAAAAATGTGGAAAAAGTTAAATGGCGTGAATACTTTTTGAAGGCACTGTATTTTTGGCGGACTCTACCATTTGCTGAAGGATTATACAGGTGCATTGATGGATTTGCATACAGATATATTTTAGAGAACTATTGAGTGAAGGAGTTGATTATTTGGTCCAATAAAAATAGTATATCAAATACTTTTTCAGTGCTGGATTACCGAAATATTCTGCTTTTACAAAATGTTAAGCTGTTTTCAAATTAAACACAATACCTTGCTCTTGTTAACGCTTTTAGAATTGATTTGTGTTACAAAAGCACCGCTAAAAAACAGCCTCTTGCTAGGTACGCACTTCAATTAAACAGTGACTACACTCAAAAATCAAAATTTCTCAACTTTTTCCCAGACCTAAAAAATGGTCTCCTGATGTGGTGTATTTTTTTTTGTTGTTGTTGTAATTTTTACTCCCTTTTTCTCCCCAATTCCGTGATTACGATCTTTTCTCATCGCTGCAACTCCCCGAGGGGATCGGGAGGGGTGAAGATTGAGTCATGCATCCTCCGAAACATGACCCGCCGAACCGCACTTCTTAACACCCGCTCGCTTAACCCGGAAGCCAGCTGCACCAATGTGAACGGAAACACTGTTCAACTGATGACCGAAGTCAGCCTGCAGGCGCCTGGCCCGCCACAAGGAGTCGCTAGAGCGCGATGAGCCAAGTAAAGCCACCCCGGCCAAACCCTCCCCTAACCCGGACGATGCCGGGCCAATTGTGCGCCGCCGTATGGGACTCCCGGTCACGGCCGGTGATGACGCAGGGATCGAACCCCAGGCTGTACTGACGCCGCAACACTGTGATGCAGTGCCTTTAGACCGCTGTGCCACTCGGGAGGATCTGACCCTTTTTTTCAATTTTCGCCTAAAATGACATACAACCCCCAAAAGTTCGATTTATGTATCATTTGATTTACACAACATGCCTACCACTTTGAAGATGCAAAATATGTTTAATTGTGAAACAAACAAGAAATAAGACAAAAAAACAGAGAACTTGAGCGTGCATAACTATTCACCCCCCCCCCCCCCCCCAATGTCAATACTTTGTAGAGCCACCTTTTGCAGCAATTACAGCTGCAAGTCTCTTGGGGTATGTCTCTATAAGCTTGGCACATCGAGCCACTGGGATTTTTGCCCATTCTTCAAGGCAAAACTGCTCCAGCTCCTTCAAGTTGGATGGGTTCCGCTGGTGTACAGCTATCTTTAAGTCATACCACAGATTCTCAATTGGATTGAGGTCTGGGCTTTGACTAGGCCATTCCAAGACATTTAAATGTTTCCCCTTAAACCACTCAAGTGTTGCTTAAGCAGTATGCTTAGGGTCATTGTCCTCCTGGAAGGTGAACCTCCGTCCCAGTCTCAAATCTCTGGAAGACTGAAACAGGTTTCCCTCAAGAATTTCCCTGTATTTAGCGTCATCCATCATTCCTTCAATTCTGACCAGTTTCCCAGTCCCTGCCGATGAAACACATCCCCACAGCATGATGCTGCCACCACCATGCTGCACTGTGGGGATGGTGTTCTCTGGGTGATGAGAGGTGTTGGGTTTGCGCCAGACATAGTGTTTTCCTTGATGGCCAAAAAGCAAAATTTTAGTCTCATCTGACCAAAGCACCTTTTGCCACTTGGCCTTGGAATCTACAATGTGCTTTTTGGCAATGCTCAAACGAGACTTGATGTGGCTTTTTTTGAGTGATTTTTTTACTTTTTGGCCTGAAGGCAAAACGATATGTCTGGCAAAAACCTAATACATCTTTCCACCCAAAGAACACCGTGACTACAGTAAAGCACGGCGGTGGCAGCATCCTGTTGTGGGGGTGTTTCCCTTCAGCAGGGACTGGAGCACCTGTCAGGATAGAAGGGAAAATGGACAGTGCAAAATACCCACAGATTCTTGAGGAGAACCTGCAGCCCTCTGCCAGGAAGTTGAAAATGGGAAGATGGTTCACGTTTCAACATGACAATGACCCAAAGCACACCGCCAAAGCAACCGTACAGTGGCTGAAGGACAAGAAGGTGAATGTCCTTGAGTGGCCTAGTCAGAGCCCCGACCTAAATCCCATAGAGAATCTGTGGAATGACTTGAAGAGTGTAATCCATGAGCGATCACCATGCAAATTGACTGAGCTTGAACAATTCTGCAAGGAACAATGGGCAAATATTGCACCGTCTAGGTGTGCAAAGTTAGTAGAGACGTATTCAAAGAGACTCACGGCTGTAATTCAAGCAAAAAGTGGTTCCACCAAGTATTAACTCAGGGCGATGTTCACTTATCCAAATAGGGTATTTTACTGTTTTAATTGTAATTCATTTTGTGTGTACTGTGTGTGTGTACTGTGTGTACTGTGTGTGTGTGTGTACTGTGTGTGTGTGTGTGGTGCCCTCTGCCTCCCAGACAGAAGATGTGTTGCTATACTCTCTGCAGTCATGGTCCAAGTCCAGCAGAATTAGAGCTAGTAGTGTGACATATTTTCTCTCTCACGCCTCTCTGTGTTTAAGGCCACAACCTCTTACAGTGAGAGACTGGGAGGGGAGGCTGGGGGGAGACCAGTAGACAGTCTTGTGTCCAGGAGAGAGGAGGAGGAGACAGGGGAGGGGAGGCTGGGGGGAGACCAGTAGACAGTCTTGTGTCCAGGAGAGAAGAGGAGGAGACGGGGAGGGGAGAGAAGGGGGAGGCCAGTAGACAGTATTGTGTCCAGGAGAGAGGAGGAGGAGACAGGGGAGGGGAGGCTGGGGGGAGACCAGTAGACAGTCTTGTGTCCAGGAGAGAAGAGGAGGAGACGGGGAGGGGAGGCTGGGGGGAGACCAGTAGACAGTCTTGTGTCCAGGAGAGAAGAGGAGGAGACAGGGGAGGGGAGGCTGGGGGGAGACCAGTAGACAGTCTTGTGTCTAGGAGAGAGGAGGAGGAGACAGGGAGGGGAGAGAAGGGGGAGGCCAGGGGGAGAGGCTCAGAATTATCACCTGTAAAGTCTCTGCATGGTCAATCCGACTTCAGCATTTATTGTGATGCAGCCTCCGCAGAAGTCAGAGCGTTCATACTTCTTGGGGCTTTTTGGGGGAGCTGTCATAAGCATCCAATAAATAGGTCTGCCCCACACCACCTGTAGTGGTATTGCTATAATACCTAGGCCCAATTAGTCTCTCTGTTGCCTTTTGATGTAGGTTATCTATAGCGTTAGTGAGAAGTCTGCGTTTATTAAATAATACCATAAGCAGGATACTGCGTAGAGGGACGTTGTAAATGCCACCGGTGGTTTAGTTTTATCAGGATCCCCACATGCCCCCTCCCTGCACATGCAGCAGCTACTCTTCCTGAGGTCCACGTAAAAGTTACAAATATATTTCAAAGCACATAACAGACTAGAACAATATAAAATATTACATTTAAAATAAAAGGAGCTGTATGAAAGACGCCAAGAGACAGCAGAAATACTATTTACACACTTCATATATTCATATTCTTATATACAGTTGAATTCGATCTTTAGAAAGAGGAGAGGCGCTGTGATACCATGTTTATTTATTTTTATTTTTTAAATCTGTTTTTTAAAGCTAAACTTGCTTTTTGCCTGAGTAACCTCCGGTGGCAGAGCATTCCATGATGACATGGCTCTATACATAACTGAGCGACACATTAAGTGTGTTTTTGGTTTGGGTACAGGGAAGAAACCCATAGTTGTGTGTCTGGTGTGGTATGTACAGTGGGGAAAAAAAGTATTTAGTCAGCCACCAATTGTGCAAGTTCTCCCACTTAAAAAGATGAGAGAGGCCTGTAATTTTCATCATAGGTACACGTCAACTATGACAGACAAATTGAGAAAAAAAAATCCAGAAAATCCCATTGTAGGATTTTTAATGAATTTATTTGCAAATTATGGTGGAAAATAAGTATTTGGTCACCTACAAACAAGCAAGATTTCTGGCTCTCACAGACCTGTAACTTCTTCTTTAAGAGGCTCCTCTGTCCTCCACTCGTTACCTGTATTAATGGCACCTGTTTGAACTTGTTATCAGTATAAAAGACACCTGTCCACAACCTCAAACAGTCACACTCCAAACTTCACAATGGCCAAGACCAAAGAGCTGTCAAAGGACACCAAAAACAAAATTGTAGACCTGCACCAGGCTGGGAAGACTGAATCTGCAATAGGTAAGCAGCTTGGTTTGAAGAAATCAACTGTGGGAGCAATTATTAGGAAATGGAAGACATACAAGACCACTGATAATCTCCCTCGATCTGGGGCTCCACGCAAGATCTCACCCCGTGGGGTCAAAATGATCACAAGAACGGTGAGCAAAAATCCCAGAACCACACGGGGGGACCTAGTGAATGACCTGCAGAGAGCTGGGACCAAAGTAACAAAGCCAACCATCAGTAACACACTACGCCGCCAGGGACTCAAATCCTGCAGTGCGAGACGTGTCATTCTGCTTAAGCCAGTACATGTCCAGGCCCGTCTGAAGTGCATTTGGATGATCCAGAAGAGGATTGGGAGAATGTCATATGGTCAGATGAAACCAAAATATAACTTTTTGGTAAAAACTCAACTCGTCATGTTTGGAGGACAAAGAATGCTGAGTTGCATCCAAAGAACACCATACCTACTGTGAAGCATGGGGTTGGAAACATCATGCTTTGGGGCTGTTTTTCTGCAAAGGGACCAGGACGACTGATCCGTGTAAAGGAAAGAATGAATGGGGCCATGTATCGTGAGATTTTGAGTGAAACCCTCCTTCCATCAGCAAGGGCATTGAAGATGAAACGTGGCTGGGTCTTTCAGCATGACAATGATCCCAAACACACCGCCCGGGCAACGAAGGAGTGGCTTCGTAAGAAGCATTTCAAGGTCCTGGAGTGGCCTAGCCAGTCTCCAGATCTCAACCCCATAGAAAATCTTTGGAGGGAGTTGAAAGTCTGTGTTGCCCAGCGACAGCCCCAAAACATCACTGCTCTAGAGGAGATCTGCATGGAGGAATGGGCCAAAATACCAGCAACAGTGTGTGAAAACCTTGTGAAGACTTACAGAAAACGTTTGACCTGTGTCATTGCCAACAAAGGGTATATAACAAAGTATTGAGAAACTTTTGTTATTGACCAAATACTTATTTTCCACCATCATATGCCAATAAATTCATTAAAAATCCTACAATGTGATTTTCTGGATTTTTTTTTCTCATTTTGTCTGTCATAGTTGACGTGTATCTATGATGAAAATTACAGGCCTCTCTCATCTTTTTAAGTGGGAGAATTTGCACAATTGGTGGCTGACTAAATACTTTTTTTCCCCACTGTGTGTGTATGTATGTATGTATGTATGTATGTATGTATGTATGTATGTATGTATGTATGTATGTATGTATGTATGTATGTATGTATGTATGTATGTATGTATGTATGTATGTCATGTATGTTGTATGTATGTCTGTATGTATGTATGTCTGTATGTCTGTCTTGTATGTATGTCTGTATGTATGTATGTCTGTATGTTATGTATGTATGTATGTATGTATGTATGTATGTATGTATGTATGTATGTCTGTCTGTCTGTTTTGAAGTGTATGCAAATAGATTATTCAAATGGTGAGGCAATTTCAACATACACATATTTCTTAAGACTAGAAGGGAAGTAGTCAATTTCTCCTCAACCAGAAAAGACTATCATGCATGTTGTTGATGTTAGTTCTGTATGTGCAGTTAAGGGCAATGCGTGCTGCTCTGTTTTGAGCCAGCTGCAGCTTTGCTAGGGTCTTTCTTTGCTGCACCTGGCCACATCACCAGACAGTAATCAGGATGGGACAAGATCAGAGCCTGAACAACTAGTACAGTTGGATTTTTGTGTCAAATGCAGAACATATTTTTATACCAGACAAAAACTGGGTCAATATGACTTGACCATGATAACTGACCATCCAATGTTACTCCTAGGAATTCAGCCTCTTCAACTTGTTCAATGGTCACAACTCCAGTTGAGGTTTAGGTCTAAGAGAATGGTTTGAACCAAATACAATGCTTTTGATTTTTTTAGATGTATTTAAGACCAGTTTATTGTTAATGACCCATTCTGACACTGACTGTAACTCCTTGCTAAGAGTCTCGGTGAGCTCACTGGCTGTAGGTGCTGATGTGTACAGTGGGCAATCATCAGCATATACATAGTCATTTCAGCTTCTTGTAAGACAAGTGGTAAATCATTTGTACAAATAGTGAAGAGTAACGGCCCAAGGCAACTGCCCTGAGGGACACCGCACTGTACATATCTGATGTTAGAGAATCTTCCATTGAAGAACACTCTGAGTTCTATTGGATAAGTAACTCTCCAACCATGTGATGGCAGGTGATGTAAAACCATATCAAGTGAGTTTTTTTTCAATAACAATTGATGATCAATAACATTAAAGGGTGCACTGAAATCTAACAATACAGCTCCAACTATCATCTTATTATCCATTTATTTCAACCAATCCTCTGTCTTCTTAGTCAGTACAGTACAAGTTGAGGTCCCTCTCCTATATGCATGCAGAAAGTCAGTAGTTCACTTGTTATTTAACTTGGTAGGCTATATCACGTCTTGTCTTTGAAATACACCTTGGCCTAGACGAGAGAGAGAGAGAGAGAGAGAGAGAAGAGAGAGACGAGAGAGAGAGATAGAGAGAGAGAGAGAGAATATAGGAGCTAGAGTAGAATAGCGAGCGATATACAAGATAGATGAGTCTACGATATAGAGCGCGAGAAGAGAATAGCTCGCGCGCACTAGGCGGCTGAGCGAGCTATCTAGTCTCGCGCTCTAGCTCGCTCTATCTCTCTGCTACCGCGATGGGGTAACTGGAATCAATTACATGTTTTAAATGTCTTCTGCTTTCATGTCAGGGTGTAGGTCTGATGGAAACACTAATGGATAGTCTACTGAAACGCTTCTGTAGACAGCCATTGCGTGTCGTTTCGTGTCTGACCTCCCACACCTCTTCATTGTCTACAACTGGACCAAACAAATCAGGACTCTCACATGCTCCCTTTCCTTAGGATCTCTAGCTGTCAATCAAATCAGATCTACTAGGGCAAGGGACGGGGAGCCACCCAGCATTTTAAAACACTTGTATTTCGGCCCAGAGTGCCCGTGTATGTAGTGGTCTATGAATGTAGCTAGCTATAGTAGTCTGTAAGAAGCTGTCAATATCAATTTGGAATATTTTGTATGGACCCTGAACCATGTAGTCTATACAGTTCTATAAGTAGAATGTATGTATCTATAGTATAGTATTGGTCTTCACAAAGTTTGCTGCTTCAGTGTTTTTAGATATTTTTGTCAGATGTTACTATGGTATACTGAAGTATAATTACAAGCATTCCATAAGTGTCAAAGGCTTTTATTGACAATTACATTACGTTTATGCAAAGAGTCAATATTTGCAGTGTTGACCCTTCTTTTTCAAGACCTCTGCAATCCGCCCTGGCATGCTGTCAATTAACTTCTGGGCCACATCCTAACTGATGGCAGCCCATTCTTGCATAATCAATGATTGGAGTTTGTCAGAATTTGTGGGTTTTTGTTTGTCCACCCACCTCTTGAGGATTGACTACAAGTTCTCAATGGGATTAAGGTCTGGGGAGTTTCCTGGCCATGGACCCAAAATTTCGGTGGCAAGGTGCTCCATCATGCTGGAAAAGGTATTGTTTGTCACCAAACTGATCTTGGATGGTTGGGAGAAGTTGCTCTCGGAGGATGTGTTGGTACCATTCTTTATTCATGCCTGTGTTCTTAGGAAAAATTGTGAGTGAGCCCACTCCCTTGGCTGAGAAGCAACCCCACACATGAATGGTCTCAGGATGCTTTACTGTTGGCATGACACAGGACTGATGGTAGCGCTCACCTTGTCTTCTCCAGACAAGCTTTTTTCCGGATGCCCCAAACAATCGGAAAGGGGATTCATCAGAGAAAATGACTTTACCCCAGTCCTCAGCAGTCCAATCCCTGTACCTTTTGCAGAATATCAGTCTGTCCCTGATGTTTTTCCTGGAGAGAAGTGGCTTCCTCGCTGCCCTTCTTGACACCAGGCCATCCTCCAAAAGTCTTTGCCTCACTGTGCGTGCAGATGCACTCACACCTGCCTGCTGCCATTCCTGAGCAAACTCTGCACTGGTGGTGCCCCGATCCCGCAGCTGAATCAACTTTAGGAGACGGTCCTGGCACTTGCTGGACTTTCTTGGGCGCCCTGAAGCCTTCTTCACAACAATTGAACCTCTCTCCTTGAAGTTCTTGATGATCCGATAAATGGTTGATTTAGGTGCAATCTTACTAGCAGCAATATCCTTGCCTGTGAAGCCCTTTTTGTGCAAAGCAATGATGACCGCACGTGTTTCCTTGCAGGTAACCATGGTTAACAGAGGAAGAACAATGATTTCAAGCACCACCCTCCTTTTAAAGCTTCCAGTCTGTTATTCTAACTCAATCAGCATGACAGAGTGATCTCCGGCCTTGTCCTCGTCAACACTCTCGCCTGTGTTAACGAGAGAATCACTGACATGATGTCAGCTGGTCCTTTTGTGGCAGGGCTGAAATGCAGTGGAAATGTTTTTTTGGGATTAAGTTCCTTTTCATGGCAAAGAGGGACTTTGCAATTAATTGCAATTCATCTGATCACTCTTCATAACATTCTGGAGTATATGCAAATTGCCATCATAAAAACTGAGGCAGCAGACTTTGTGAAAATTAATATTTGTGTCATTCTCAAAACTTTTGACCACGACTGTAGTAGCAGAATGCGAATCGACAGACGCTGTCGGTGTCTATTTATAATATTTTGTCAGGCCGTGTTCATCTTTCGCCCTCTGGCATTAGTCCTTTTAATGTCGTAAATTTAGTGCAGACTTGTGGCTTTGCTGTCTCCGCCGCTCCCCAGAGTTTCACATGCCTTCATGGTGATGCAAATCCAACCGAGAAGTCTGGGTCAAGGTGATGTCACTGTTGTTGCCACAGCCACAGAGAAACCACCATAAAACCTGACCTGTGCTGCGACGCGTTCTCCTCATCGACCTGGAACTCCCTGGCAGGAAAGAAAGGGGCAAAGTGATATAACTGTTGCACAGTCACAGAGCAAAGCCACAATCCAATCCGCTGTGATGACTTCCCCTCCATCCCGAGAATCATGTGACCCCGCTGCTGGCAGGATGTTCTGGGCTGGACTGGTTGGAGATGCCAGTGAAAAGAGGGGGGGGTGGCAGGGAGGGTAGGGTAGGGAGGGGGGCAGGGAGGGTAGGTAGGGTAGGGAGCGGGGCAGGGAGGGTAGGGTAGGGAGGGTAGGGAGGGTAGGGTAGGGAGCGGGGCAGTGAGGGTAGGGTAGGGAGGGGGGCAGGGAGGGTAGGGCTGAGGGTATAGTGGGCAGCGCTGGCTGCCTTGAACTGGCCGGGCCGGGCGGCTGCACTATGTTTATATAGGCTAGACTCCTCCCTGGGTTATTCAGAGCCTGTCAGTAAGGACTCTTAAATAAGACGCATATTTATAATGTGGCCCAGCCTTGGAAGGAGAAGGCTGTATGAGGTAGGGCCTCTTCTCCACTAAAATATGTCGGATCGAGGCCTAAGAAGAACCTAAATGTGTAGTATGGCGCTAGTCGCTACAGCCCAGTATACTAGCAGACAGCAAGCCAGGCAGTACGCTAGTGGCATTTCTCTCATTAGTGCGGGGCTCTTAACCTTGGCAGTGGCCTTTGTACTCTGTAGCTACGCCCAGTGGCGTACCGCATTTTCGCGGGTGCCCACCATTTTTTTTTTTTTTTTGGGGGGGGGGGGGGGGTCAACTTCCTACAATTTTGCATATTTTACCATGGGGTGTAGAGAAAATGTTGCAGTTTGAAAGCAATTGTACACATTTTGTGATGGGGTGGAGAGAAGATTTTGCTATTTTATAACTCAATTCATGCAATTTACTAATTTTGCTATGGGATGGAGAGAAAAATGATCCGTTTTAAAGGTAGTTTCCTGCAACTCGACACATTTTGCCATAGGAAGCAAATGTTTGCAGTTTTTTATATGATAACTGATGATCAATGGGCCCCACCTCGGTCTGTAATTCGACCATGCTTACTATTAGGAAGGTGTTCCTAATGATTTGTACACTCAGTGTATGTTCCAAATACTGCTGACTTTACTATCTGTTCCCAATACTGCTGACTTGACTATCTGTTCCCAATACTGCTGGCTTGACTAAATGTTCCCAATACTGCTGGCTTGACTAAATGTTCCCAATACTGCTGGCTTACAGTACCCACCTTCCCACTTACCAACCACCAGTATTTTGCTTTGTTTTATACTCTGCTGAAAGGCCTAGTCTACCTACTAACCCGCTTGTTTCATACTCTGCTGAAAGTCCTAACCTACCTCCCTCCCTCCCTCCCTACCTACCTCCCTACCTCCCTACCTACCTATTTACCTACCTACCTGCTTGTTTTATACTCTGCTGTAAGCCCTTACTTACCTATGTTTCATATTCCTCTCTGTTCTTCCTATGGATTACATTCTGATCGACTGTTTTTCAGACAATCTATTAGTTAGTGGGGCGTAGCTGCCAATTATGCCAGCTTCCATCCCAGCTTCCATCCCAGCTTCCATCCCAGCTTCCATCCCAGCTTCCATCCCAGCTTCCATCCCAGCTTCCATCCCAGCTTCCACACCAGCTTCCAAAATACATTGCTGCTGCTGACTGAGTTTGGAGTTTAAATGGGGCACCTATTTGTCAACTTAATACCCACCAGTACCCACCTTCCCACCAACAGGTTTTGGCTGGTGTACATTGATACATTGTGATTAGCCTGCTTACTGAAGGACTGGCATAGTACGGGTCCTTTAACATTAGAGGTTTAAGCCTAGGGCCTACTTTTCCTATATTGGCTCACAAGTCCTAGAACTGATACTGTGGCAATAACAAGTGTATTATTGTCTAGCTGCTCTTTGTAATCCTTTTGATTCTATTAGTCTGTCTTTGCTGCTCTTTGGAATCCATTTGATTCTATTAGTCTGTATTTGCTGCTCTTTGGAATCCATTTGATTCTATTAGTCTGTATTTGCTGCTCTTTGGAATCCATTTGATTCTATTAGTCTGTCTTTGCTGCTCTTTGGAATCCATTTGATTCTATTAGTCTGTATTTGCTGCTCTTTGGAATCCATTTGATTCTATTATTCTAATGTCTTTGCCTCTGGGTTGTAAAACTGGTATGTCAGCCGTAGCAGCATCAAAGAGAAACGTATTGTTCTGTTTGATGCAGTAGGCCTACTTCCTGATTTGGAGAGGTTCTGTTGTTGTGAGGTGTAGCCTTTAGGTTCTGTGTGTTCAATGTCAGAGTCGTATTAATAATCCAGTGAGTCAGGTGAGCTGGGTGTCTTATCTCTTATCTGGAGCCTGATTGGCTTTCGGCAGATTAAACCTACAGATACATGCATCCAACCTTTCCATGAATGTTCCACTGGCAGCCTATGGTGTGATGTCGTCATACCAAGGTTAGCAGCGAACAGAATAGCTGTGTCTTAGTCTGGTCCCAGATCTCTTTGCTGTCTTGACTCCAATGGTCGTTGTCAAGACTGACAAGTTGTCACAAACAGATGTGGGACCAGGCTAGCAACTTGTCTCCCTGATACAGAGACTACAGAGGGTAGTTTAGCTTGGTGGTGAATGTCATTTTATAGAATAGTCCAGACAGGTGTGAGGGGCCATACCTCTTCTGGGGGGCTGGATGTAGGTTATGTGTCCCAAATGACACAATATTCCCTATTTAGTGCACTACTTTCGACCAGAGCCAAATGGGCCCTAGTCAAAAATAGTGCAGTAAATAGGGAATACAGTGAGGGGAAAAAAGTATTTGATCCCCTGCTGATTATGTCCATTTGCACACTGACAAAGAAATTATCAGTCTATCATTTTAATGGTAGGTTTATTTGAACAGTGAGAGACAGAATAACAACAACAAAAATCCAGAAAAACGCATGTCAAAAATGTTATAAATTGATTTGCATTTTAATGAGGGAAATAAGTATTAGACCCCCTCTCAATCAGAAAGATTTCTTGCTCCCAGGTGTCTTTTATACAGGTAACGAGCTGAGATTAGGAGCACACTCTTAAAGGGAGTGCTCCTAATCTCAGCTTGTTACCTGTTTAAAAGACACCTGTCCACAGAAGCAATCAATCAATCAGATTCCAAACTCTCCACCATGGCCAAGACCAAAGAGCTCTCCAAGGATGTCAGGGACAAGATTGTAGACCTACACAAGGCTGGAATGGGCTACAAGACCATCGCCAAGCAGCTTGGTGAGAAGGTGACAACAGTTGGTGCGATTATTCGCAAATGGAAGAAACACAAAATAACTGTCAATCTCCCTCGGCCTGGGGCTCCATGCAAGATCTCACCTCGTGGAGTTGCAATGATCATGAGAACGGCAAGGAATCAGCCCAGAACTACACGGGAGGATCTTGTCAATGATCTCAAGGCAGCTGGGACCATAGTCACCAAGAAAACAATTGGTAACACACTACGCCGTGAAGGACTGAAATCCTGCAGCGCCCGCATGGTCCCCCTGCTCAAGAAAGCACATATACAGGCCCGTCTGAAGTTTGCCAATGAACATCTGAATGATTCAGAGGAGAACTGGGTGAAAGTGTTGTGGTCAGATGAGACCAAAATCGAGCTCTTTGGCATCAACTCAATTTTGTTTGTATGTGACCAAATACTTATTTTCCACCATAATTTGCAAATACATTCATAAAAAATCCTACAATGTGATTTTCTGGATTTTTTTTCTTCTCATTTTGTCTGTCATAGTTGACGTGTACCTATGATGAAAATTACAGGCCTCTCTCATCTTTTTAAGTGGGAGAACTTGCACAATTGGTGGCTGACTAAATACTTTTTTTCCCCACTGTATGTATGTGGACCAAAGAGAGCTCTACTGTCTGTGCCCTGCCCCTGTGTCCCCCCTGACTCTCCTCTGAGCCCTGTGTCCCCCCTGACTCTCCTCTTAGCCCCTGTGTCCCCCCTGACTCTCCTCTGAGCCCCTGTGTCCCCCCCGACTCTCCTCTGAGCCCCTGTGTCCCCCCTGACTCTCCTCTTAGCCCCTGTGTCCCCCCTGACTCTCCTCTGAGCCCCTGTGTCCCCCCTGACTCTCCTCTGAGCCCCTGTGTCCCCCCCGACTCTCCTCTGAGCCCCTGTGTCCCCCCTGACTCTCCTCTGAGCCCCTGTGTCCCCCCTGACTCTCCTCTGAGCCCCTGTGTCCCCCCTGACTCTCCTCTGAGCCCTGTGTCCCCCCCTGACTCTCCTCTGAGCCCTGTGTCCCCCCTGACTCTCCTCTGAGCCCCTGTGTCCCCCCTGACTCTCCTCTGAGCCCCTGTGTCCCCCCTGACTCTCCTCTGAGCCCCTGTGTCCCGCCTGGGCACCTGGGACCCCCCTGTACTGTAGCCTGCATTGATTCATGATGGGACCACACGCAATACACACACACACAGCACCACATTCTGGCCTAATTGGAAATGCTTAGAATGCAATTCTGCTCACGGCTAGATCAATAACTCAATTAAGACCCTGTATCTCTCTCTCTCTCACTTGCTCTCTTTCCCTCTCTTGCTCTATTTCCATCTCTCTCACTATCTATCTCTGTGTGTCTCGCTATATCTATCTCTCTCTCTCTCTCTCTCTCTCTCTCTCTCTCTCTCTCTCTCTCTCTCTCTCTCTCTCTCTCTCTCTCTCTCTCTCTCTCTCTGTGTGTCTCGCTATCTCTCTCTCTCTCTCGCTGGCTGGCTGAATGTAACAGTGAGTGATATTACAGATGGGTTGACCTTTTAAAGACTACAGACAGACCGTCTGTCCACTAAGCTCAAACTAAATGGTCAGGGATTATCATGGACTGTCTTTAGATGTATGGCTTGTTATGAATTAGCTTCCAATACCCATAGTGCACTTCAGATTGGCTGGGAGATATACCTGTAGCTTGATTGACTGGGCTTCAGGGTTGAAGATGAGGGGGACAGGCCTGTGCAAGAGGTGGTTGAGAGATGCTGTTACTCAAGTGTGTTTGTGTCTGTAAGAGATCGTAATGGCAGGGAGCCTACTGTTTTGAGACTGTGACTGTTAGGTGTGTGAGAGTGGGGACAGCCAGACGTCAGATCGATGGGTGTGTGTGTGTGCTGACATGGACCAGGCTAATGAAATAATGTGTCTGCAGGACAGGATAGCCAGGCAGAGCAGGGAGCTCTGCAGATGGCTAGCTACCATTAGCCTAAACACAAAACAGAGACACTGCACTCTCTCTGGCATCCACCCACCATTAGCCAATCCCTAGAGAGCTTGGGAGGAGGAAGTAACCTGCTGTGTCTGGTTCTGATTACTCATCCTGATGTCTGTGTCATCTCAGCTCATCCTAATTGATTTACCTGCTTAAATAAAGGTTAGGCCTAAATCAATAGAAATTCTGACTGACGTTCCCCTCCCTCTCTCCATTTCTCAGGTGGCTGGTGAAGGTGTGACATCATCGCCCAGTGCTATTCATTGAGGAGCCGGGATCTGATTGATCGGTTTGGGTTGCGGCCGGCGGGCTGGCTCCTCCCCCTCCCGGCAGCACCGTGCGCTCCCAGCCGCCTCCCTGCACCCCACGCTCGCCCGGCCTGCGCCCCCCAGCCCATGCCCCCGCCACCCCCACCAGGTCCTCTAACGCCATGTGCCTCCCCCACACCATGGAAGCAGCATCAGGGAAGAACGGAGCGGGCCAGGCAGGGTTAGGGCTGGGGTTTGGGACAGGCCTTGGGCTGGGGCTGGAGCTGGGGCTGGGGCTGGAGCTGGGGCTGGGGATGGGGCTGGGGGGCAGGCGGTGTGGAGGGGTGCCTCTAGAACCCTTCGTACACCAGGTGGGAGGGCACACCAGTATGATGCGCTACGATGACCACACGGTGTGCAAACCACTCATCACCCGGGAGCAACGCTTCTACGAGTCCCTGCCGCCTGAGATGAAGGAGTTTACACCAGAGTACAAAGGTGAGAGTTAAACCCTGACCTCTAACCTTAACTTTCTACGAGTCCCTGCCGCCTGAGATGAAGGAGTTTACACCAGAGTACAAAGGTGAGAGTTAAACCCTGACCTCTAACCTTAACTTTCTACGAGTCCCTGCCGCCTGAGATGAAGGAGTTTACACCAGAGGACAAAGGCGAGAGGAGTGTCAACCAGGATATCAACCAGAGTTGAGCGGTACCATAATGATTCTGTACTTGTACAATCGCCCGAAATACGATCTTATCGCCCGTAGCAGCCAACCAAATTTTTTAAAAAACAATCACACATTTTAGTCATTTAGCAGACGGTCTTATCCAGAGCGACTTAAAGTTAGTGCATACATTATTTTTTTTATTTTTCATACTGGCCCCCCGTGGGAATCGAACCCACAACCCTGGCGTTGCAAACGCCATGCTCTACCAACTGAGCTACATCCCTGCCGGCCATTCCCTCCCCTACCCTGGACGACGCTGGGCCAATTGCGCGCCGCCCCATGGGTCTCCCGGTCGCGGCCGGCTACGACAGAGCCTGGATTCGAACCAGGATCTCTAGTGGCACAGCGTATAGTAGCTTACTATAGCATTAGACATTATTTTTGTTTTATTTAACCTTTATTTTAACAGGGAAAACATATTGAGACCAAGGTCTGTTTAACAAGGTCTGGCCCTCATACCATCATGGCCACCTAATCATCCCCAGCTTCCAATTGGCTCATTCATCCCCCTGTAGCTATTCCCCAGGTCGTTGCTGTAAATGAGAACGTGTTCTCAGTCAACTGACCTGGTAAAATAAGGCTTTAATAAATATATAAAAATACAAATGTGTCCTGTATATACAACATAAATATACACATTATACCTAAATATATAAAGACATTCAAATACAAAAACACAGTCATGCGAAGCACAAGTAAAACATCACAAATCACCCAGAAAAACAGTCACATTCCTCCACAAATAAGTCCTCAATCAATACTTTATATTGCCCGAACGGCACTAGAACATCAAGATGAAATGTATTTAGAATTTTATTCCAGCAATACGCTGCATTAAAGCTAAAAGCAGATGTACCTAGCTCGGTGGAGACCCTAGGAACTACAAGCGTTAACCAATCCTGGTAACGGGCTAGGCAGTGTGTCTGTGGATTAGATAGACGTTAACATGGAAGAGAGCAGGAAGAGAGTGTTTAAAACAGAAACACTCCACTGTTTCACTGCCTAGCCTGGTGCAAGATCTGTTTGTGCTGTCTTGGTGTCAGGTCCAATGACTAGGAGTTGGCAAGATGGTACAAACAGATATGAGACCAGGCTACAGCCTCCTCTGCTCTGCTCTTTATCATAGATTGATAGTGTTTAAAACACCAAACGATACTCGTTCTTCTCCACTGTTTCCCTCTCCTCTCCTCTCCTCTCCTCTCCTCTCCTCTCCTCTCCTCTCCTCTCCCCTCCCCTCCCTCTCCCCCTCCCCTCCCCTCTCCTCTCCTCTCCACTCCCCCCTCCTCTCCTCTCCTCTCCTCTCCTCTCCTCTCCTCTCCTCTCCTCTCCTCTCCTCTCCTCCCCTCTCCTCTCCTCTCCTTCTCCTCTCCGTCTCCTCTCCTCTCCTCTCCTCTCCTCTCCTCTCCTCTCCTCTCCTCTCCTCTCCTCTCCTCTCCTCTCCCCTCGCGTCACTGTCGCTTCCCCTCTCCTCTCCTCTCCGGCTACCTCTCCTCGCTCCTTCTCCGAGTCCTCTTCCTCTCCTCGAAATACCTCTCAGGCTCCCTACCTCGGCTCAGCTCGTCCTCACCCTCTCCTCCTCCTCTCTACGTCTCCTTCTCCTCGTCCTCTCCTCCTGTCCCTCCCTCTCCCCCCTCTCCTCTCGCTCCCTGTTTGACTCTCTGATAGGCTGTTATTATTACGCCCCATGGCAGAGGATGAGGAGAATCAGCTCGTAAAGGGGATTTTAACACGCACACACAAATACACCACGACCACACACTACACACCACACACACACACACACACACACACGCACACACACATGGGTTTGGAAGCAATAGGGAAGATGTGGTGTAACTTCTGAGGATCTGTTTTCTTAGTTAACAACGTGTCCATGTTTCTAAATCAGTCTTATAATGCACGTAGAGCAGCACCCTCCCTCCCCCAACCCTGCCAACCCCTCCTCTCCTCTCCTCTCCCCTCCTAGAGAGAGCAGCACCCTCCCTCCCTCCAACCCTGCCAACCCCTCTCCTCTCCTCTTCCTCCCTAGAGAGAGCAGCACCCTCCCTCCCTCCAACCCTGCCAACCCCTCTCCTCTCCCTCTCCTCTCCTCTCCTAAGGAGCAGCACCCTCCCGCCCTCCCAACCCTGCCACCCCCTCCTCCTCTTCTCTCCTCCTCTCCTCTCCATAGAGAGCAGGCACCCTCCCTGCGCCCTCCCTCCCTATCCAACCCTGCCCACCCCTCGCCTCTCATCCTGTCCTTGTCCTCTCTCCTCTCCTCTTCCTCTCCTCTCCTCTCCTCTCCTCTCCTCTGCGGTCCTCCCTTCCTTCTCCCTCTCCTCTCCTCTCCTCTCCTCTCCTCTCCTCAAGGAACTCTGCCTCTCCTCTCCTCTCCTCGTAACCGTCTCCTCCTCCCGCGGTCTCCTTCGTGGGATCGCATCTTCCTCTCCTCGCAGGCCACGGGGGGCGGTCCTCCTCCTCACCTCCTCTCCTAGCTCTCTCTCGCCCCTCTCCCTCCCTCCCCCCCTCTCTCCTCTCCTTTCCTCGATCACGTCTCCTCATCCGTTCTCCTCTGTCCTCTCCTCTCCCTCTCTTCTCCTCATGTCTCTCCTCTAGGTCCTCTGGTCCTCTCCGTCGTCCTCTCCTCCTCCTCTCCTCGTCGTATATATATCACACCTCCCGTCTTCCCCCTCTCAAACGCCTTCCTTTCCACCGCTCGCGCCTCTCCCTCTCCTCGGCTCCTCTGTCCACTTCCTCTCCTCTCCTCTCCTCGTCCTCCTCCTCTTCGGCTCTTCCTCCCTCATCCTCTCCCCCCTCTCCTCTCCCTCCTCTCCTCTCTGCTCCTCTCCTCCCTCCTCATCCTCTCCGCTCCTCTCCTCTCCTCTCTCCCTCTCCTCCCCTTCTCCTCTCCTCCCCTAGAGAGAGCAGCACCCTCCCTCCCATCCAACCCCTGCCAACCCCTCTCCTCTCCTCTCCTCGCCTCTCCTAGAGAGGAGCAGCAGCCCCCTCCCTACCCTCCAACCCTGCCCAACCCCCTCCCTCTCCTCTCCTCTCCTCTTCTCCTCTCCCTCTCCTCTCCTCTCCTCTCCTCTCCTCTCCTCTCCTGCTCTCTCTCCTCTCCTCCCCCCCCCCCCTTCCTAGATATAGCCGCAACCTCCCTCCCCTCCCAACACTTCACTCATCCCTCTCGCTCTCCTCTCCTCTCCTCTCCCTCCTCTCCGGTCTCCTCTCCGCGTC